ATGCAGAAGAGGATGATAACGTCTTGATATCATTCCATGGAGAAATTAGATGTAAAAAATTCACCAATGTATCACAGATGATTTCATACTCTCACTACTGGTGGTGGTGGTGGTTGAAGAAAAATTCACAACTTACGTCACATGCTTCACAGTTCAATATGTCCATGTTAATTTCACGGCAGCTACTGGTGGTGATGTTTCTGTGTCTCAGTGTGTTAACCACTTACTTCTTCAACAGGGACTAAATCACTGCATGACATTCATTCTGATACACAATATTTGGTGACAGTGAATACACTAAGGTGATGGTGTCAATATGCCAGTGTAAACAAATTTGTTGATTCAGTCATTCATAAATAAATGTCACTAAAAACACTAAAGCACTTACCCATGGACTCCACATAAATGCTTCAGTAGTGTAATTACAGATGATGACAAATCACGCTAACTTAAAGTAGCTTGTCTCCACCAAATGATACAAACTGTATTACAGATTGTCTACACCAAATGATACAATTGTCTACACCAAATGATGACAAACTGTTTTACAGATTGTCTCCACCAAATGATACAAACTGTATTACAGATTGTCTCCACCAAATGATGACAAACTGTATTACAGATTGTCTACACCAAATGATACAAACTGTATTACAGATTGGCTTCACCAAATGATGACAGACTGTATTACAGATTGTCTCCACCAAATGATACAAACTGTATTACAGATTGTCTCCACCAAATGATGACAAACTGTACTACAGATTGTCTCCAACAAACAATGACAAACTGTATTACAGATTGTCTCCACCAAATGATGACAAACTGTATTACAGATTGGCTTCACCAAATGCTACAAACTGTATTACAGATTGCCTACACCAAATGATACAAACTATACTACAGATTGTCCACACCAAATGATGACAAACTGTATTACAGTTTGGCTTCACCAAATGATACAAACTGTGTTACAGATTGTCTACACCACATGATGACAAACTGAATTACAGATTGGCTTCACCAAATGATACAAACTGTGTTACAGATTGTCTACACCACATGATGACAAACTGTATTACAGATTGGCTTCACCAAATGATACAAACTGTATTACAGATTGCCTACACCAAATGATACAAACTGTACTACAGATTGTCCACACCAAATGATGACAAACTGTATTACAGATTGGCTTCACCAAATGATGACACTGTATTACAGATTGTCTACACCAAATGATACAAACTGTATTACAGATTGTCTACACCACATGATGACAAACTGTATTACAGAATGTCTAAACCAAATGATGACAAACTGTATTACAGATTGTCTCCACCAAATGATGACAGACTGTATTACAGATTGGCTTCACCAAATGATGACAAACTGTATTACAGATTGTCTACACCAAATGATGACAGACTGTATTACAGATTGTCTCCACCAAATGATGACAGACTGTATAACAGATTGGCTTCACCAAATGATGACAAACTGTATTACAGATTGTCTACACCAAATGATGACAAACTGTATTACAGATTGTCTACACCAAATGATGACACTGTACTACAGATTGTCTACACCAAATGATGA